CAGACCTTTTCGCTGGTCTTCTGATTCGATTTGGATTCAGAGATTCGGCCACCTAATCGGGCTGAATCTCCTCCAGATTGAATCAGCACCAGAAGCTTCGCACAGCTCTACTATAAACCCAAGTAACAGACCAAATCCTTGGTGCTAAACATTGTACAAACACAGAATAAAACTGCAGAATAAAGGTGGCAGACTAACTCTTAAAAGATTTTAAAGCCAAACAGGACCATTATGAATATCTAGTCTGACCTCCTTAATAATGGAAGCCATAGCATTTCACCCAGTGATTCCTACCTCAATCCCCACGTTTTCTTTTGGCTTATCTCTGTGTTTTTGGCTTCTTTCTGAGACATTTTACTTGGTATTGATTAGGAAATAATGCATCAGTGCTTTAGTATTAATTCTTTTTTCTTTTCCTTTAGTGAGATGGGATACATTGCACGGTTTCTTCAGATGTAACTTCTGAGGAAGTCATAGCCTTCTCAGTACTAGACTTGGAAAAAGGATGATTGAATCCTAGGTCTAGGACAGATGCTATCTATCAGGCCCAATCTGACCATGCTGTCCTAAAGCTCAGTAGCACTTGGAGTAATATTACCCCTTCAGGTATCTACAGGGCCCAAGCAAGATTATCTCTCCACTGTACCAACTGCTGTAGGGTTGCAAACTAAAAGGGTAATCCCTGCCCTTTAATTTAAAAATACAGGACTGACTCAAATGGATTATTATCCTCTTTGCAGTTGAGGAACTGACACACAACACCACCAAGTAACTTGCCAAAGGGCACACGGGAAGATGGTGGCATGTCCAGGATTTAAGCCCTGGTCTGATTCTAGTCTGGTGGCCTTGCTTCAAGGCCATATTTTCCCTATATTTTGTCATGTTGTGTGTTTATGTGCATATACAGCATTATGTAGCAATGTCAGTGAGTGGGATAGAAATTGGAGTGATCCCCTTGGAAAGCAGTCGCTGTTTTCCATATACTATACACTTTATGGTCTCTACAAACTATGCTGACAAGCCATTTAAAAGCACTGATAAATAAGGGTGCAAATTTGGATGGACTGCTGAACCAAGTTAGTTTCAAATAAATTATTTGCAAAATGGAGCTGTAATAGGAAATCTCTAAAGAGCGTCAAAAGAATGAGATGTCTGCAAAGAGTTAATCTGTTATTGGGTCTGACAAAACCCTGCTTGCCATCTGTTTGAGACAAAATTGATGATAAGTATCACTGCTTTTAAATTAATAAATACTGTGTTAGAAGAGTAATTGAAAGTTGCATGAAATATGGATTTGGGACTTTGGATATAAATAATAGAACATACAATTTTGATGATGGCTTTAAAAGATTTCTATAAAAAGTTCTACTCCTATGATTACTGCAATATTAAAATATGTAACATTTGTCAGCTAATCCCATTGGATGATTGGGATTAGTAGAATAGCATTATTTTCTAAACTGGTATGTCCAAGTTTAACCATTCCTGGAGCCTAGATTAGGGATTTGTCCTTTAGAAGTGGAGTTCAAATCCCTGTGAAATGCACGTTTACCTTACATTTGTTTTCCTGTTGTCCACAGACTTAGAAAGGATTGCCCTAATTCCATCACTAAAATGGATGCGATAAAAAATAACAACAACAATGAGCAGGAACAAGAATAGATGCAGGCATGCTCAGTTAGAAGGCTGAAGGAAGCTGCAGACTAATTGTGTCCGACTTCAGCTGGGTGATAATTAGAGCTGGTTAGGAACTTTGCAAGGAAAAGCTTTTTCAGTAGTAAATTCCAGTTCATTGAAACAGAAGCTTTTGCAGGAACCCTCCCCCCCCAGGTTGTGGCAGGACATGTTTACATGAGCCCATGTTACATGAAAGTAAGACTGACATGTTCCTGACACAATAGCCAGGTGGTTTGGACAGTCACCCAGGAGCTGACAGATCAGGATTCAAGTTCTTCTGCACCTGATTCAGGCTAGACTTGAATTTAGTTTTCTTCAAACATAGATAAATACCCTCGCTACTGGCCTGGTGGTTATTTTGGGGAAAGAAGGCATGTTGCATCTTAAATGTGAGCAACTTCTTGGGTGGAATTTTTTAGCTAGCCAGGACTGATTTTTCAGACTAGGATGAGTGACTCCCACAAGGTGCAGCATGCTTGTAATACCTGCTAGGGCCAATAGGAATTGGGGATGCTCAGTACGTTGCAGGATCTGTTCTACAACGCTTACTGAGAAAGAAGGGCACCTTTGAAGGATCAGTTCCTAAAAGTGCCATGCACTTCTAAGAGGAAGAAGAAATGCTAACTTTGGGGTCTGGCACTTCCCTTTCCCCTTGAACCGGCACGCGAGGAATACTGCCTACCTGGAGCGAGAATTCAGGACATGAAAGG